GCCATCCCTATCTTGTTTATTGTTTAAGTACATGCTCCAATATAAAAAAAACAAGTTTGAGAATGACTTTTCCTTCTGCATGTTTTAAACTAAACAACTGTCTTCCTCATTTTCTGAGGCTACTAGACCACAGTGAAGAGAATCATTTTTTAAAATACAAGTCAGTACACTCTCAAAGGATTCACTTAACAGGATGCCAAATGAAGTAACTTCACGAAGAGGACCAATTCATCTTCAGACCTGCAATTGTTTCAGCTAATGGAAGTTAAGATTTTTTTTAATGAATCTATATATAGTACACTGACTGAAAGAGAGAAAACAATAAGTTGTGTTGGGTACCTTTTCAAAATATCAATGCCTGTGGTATATCTGTAAAGAGAATATCAGTGAAAATGTGATTCACAGTAACTGCATTCCTAAAGGAATTCCGGTTTCATCTAGATTTTAAAAGATAATCCTGGCATTCAAAAAATAGGTGTTGGGCATTCTAGAGGCTTTTCAACTTAAGCATAATATGGTAGACCTTAACATTAAATGTGTTAGGATTATATAAGTTAGTGGATAAGGGAAATTGACATAAAGGCTACTGATATCTGATCACAGGATTTGGAGTAGGCACCTTTAAAATTATTAGACTTTTTAAACTGAGTAACAGTTTTGGTAAACTGTCTCTTTAGGGCCCCAGTCCACAAATGGTACTGACCAAATGACAAATATTCAAAGGTCAAATAAACATGTAAACAGTTGCTTGATACTGAACTATAAACTGAGTTTGGGGTAGCAAAGAGTCCTGTGGCACCTTATAGACTAACAGACGTATTGGAGCATGAGCTTTCGTGGGTGAAAACACATGCACATATATCCGACAAAGTGGGTATTCACCCACGAAAGCTCATGCTCCAATACGTCTGTTAGTCTATAAGGTGCCATAGGACTCTTTGCTGCTTTCACAGATCCAGACTAACATGGCTACCCCTCTGATACTTGAGTGTGGGGTGTTATAAAAAGAGCTACTTGATAAGTTTTGCTTTTTGTTGGTATTGTATTTATTTTAAACTCTGATTTCTAGAAAATCCTCCACCCCATACAAATCCTTTTAGATTCAGTATAGTTTGTGGTCCTTGATTGAATAACCCAACTGTAATTCAACAGAACCGCTCTACTGACATTATAAAGCTCTTGAGCAAAAACAGATTACATCAAATATAAACATAGTATAGTGACTGAAAAAGTGTACTAACACAGCATGAAAAAAGATACATGACTGCTACAAGTTGCAATGTCATTTAATCTATTAAAACAGAATTATTTAAACAAGCATATTTTAAATTGTATAGTTTCTCCGGATGTTTTCAGACAAGGTAAGCATTATAAATTAAAATTATGTCTTTGTGTTTCTTGTTAATGGATGTCTTGTACATTTGGAAATTGACTCCTATAATTACCATCTAACAGTTAAATTGCCACAATGCCCAGAGGCGTAATCAGGATCGGATTGTGCTAGGTACTGTCCAAACACAATGAAGATACAATCCGTGCCCCACAAAATTTACCATCAGAGGTCTCTATTCTGCAATCATATCTGTGACATCAGACCCTTAGATCAAAGCAGAGTCCCATTTAATTGGACAAGGATTCACCCGTAAGTGCCATTACCCAGCTGAGATCTAAGAAATTACTCATTACTTTTACAAAAAGGGGTCAGATACAAAAGCAGCCTTTAATTTTCAGAGTTATGCTATCAAAAAGATTTTTTTTTTTTTAAAGAGGAAGATTTTCACCAAGTAGGGGACTGCATATTTCAAGAGATAGGTAAGAAGACAGACCTTTCACCTCCAAGAGTCCTGACCAAATCCAACATATGACAGTAGCAGCTGAGCTGTTACCACCTGATGGAAGGTCAGTGGTCTATCAAATGAGTTGATGAAACCAATCCAGTTGTTCCAACATGGGTGTCCCCAACACAAACACACTACAGCTAGCATATTTATTGGCAGTTATAACAAGGGAACCAAGCCAGAAAGCAGTAGTGGATTGGGGAAACACAGGCAAACACTGGGTCTTTATTGAACAAGAACGTTGTGGCAGTGTAAACATGGCTAAGCAATCATGGATTAATTTTCAAAGTCATGCCCTCCAGAAATTTATACATATCCTTTACCAAAGGCTGCTCTATGGGCTTGGGATAGAACTAGAGACCTTTGCCAATGACACCTATTGCAAATAATCCAGATCTTAACCCAAGTCATAAACCAGAGACTTTTAAATGTTTAACTCATTTAGAGATAAAAAAAATCTAACTTTAACTGGCCCACTCTCCTGTGGTACTAGTACTGTCAAGTTAGCCATTATGTTTCTCAATTTTCTAGAAAAATATTTTATACAGAATGCTAATTTCAATACAAATGATGTTATCTGTTCATTCAGGAAACAAAAAAAATATAACTAATTTAGATCGATCTTTTCAGACAACTTTCCTAACAAAAGAATATCCATAGGTGACATGCCTGGAAAAGGACCTGAATATACAAATTACCCAAGAGAAATGAGGGTTTGATCCAGAAAAGAGGAGCAGCAATCTCAATCTGTAGGCACAATAAAAGAACATTTATGTAAAATACTGTTTCAATCTCACGCTAGTCAGATTAAAAAAATATACAGATTGAATGGTGATAAATGTTGGAGAAACTGTAGAGAAAGAGGTGGTTTTATGCATATATGGTGGACATGGCTAATCAGAGAGTCTTGGGATGCAATCCATAACCAAATATCACAGATTGTTGGATATATATATTACCAAATGATCCACTGGTAATCCTCCTGGGGCTTCCTACTGGAAATGATAACACAAAGGGAAACGAGGAATTAATCGCTCAATTGTTTGTAGCTGTTCGGCTATTGCTAGCTTCTCACAGGAAAAAGAAAAATAGTCCAACTGTAGAGAAATTATTCAAAAAAAAAGTCTGGGAGGTTGCGGTTATGGAAAAATTAACATACCAAGTATGTACCTGGCAAAATAAAGGACAAATAGATACTTTGATATTTGGTTACCTTTTATTCAATATTCAAAGTATATTCACCCTCAAAAAAACTCAACGTACTTGTCCAATTTTTTTGAATATTAACATTTTATAGACATGCCTGTCTGTAAAAGATGTGTAATCAAAGATTTCACAAAATTTAATGAAATCACAAGAAACAACATGATGCTCACTCTGTAGTATGGTAATATCCTGTGCACACCTTCCAGCCTGGGGATGAGGAATGCTATAACTAGGTCTACAGTGGCAGTTTCGGAGGGGGGGAGGGGAGTTTTCCCACCACTTCCACTTCTGATTCAGCTCCATAAGTGACAGTAACTTTGGTAGCTCCAGCAGTGATAATGCTCTGATGGACACTAGCATTTTTACTACTTTGTCATTTAACACTGTTTACAGCATATCTAAATGACACAGTGTTAAAACACCACGGTCTGCTGAACATTAACAGCACTATTTCTTCCAACTGTTACCACTGGCTAGGCACCCTGATGTCAGCAACAGTAGAAATTTTTTGCCTGATACAGAAAAGGTCCTGTGTGGAAGTTTACCCTGTTCTATAGGTAGAGGTCCTCACTCTCCACAGCTGCCAATCTAGTACCTTTCATAAGTACACAAATCTAGCTATTTAAAATAAAAGGGAAAGAGGATGAAGTTTGATAACCAGAAGTGAAAGAATAATAAATAATAATAAATCCTCTCTGCCCAATTCCATTACAGTAGACCCCAGTACAGCACTATTAGCACCACAATCCCAGCTGTAATAACAATTTAGGCCCTGATCCTGTACTGTGTTGGGTATGAGCAGATTCACATTGTAGTCAGTGAGGTTCCTTGCCTGCATAGCAGTCTGTCCATATGCAAGAAACTGCAGGATTAGGACCTTGGTCTCTGTGTCCATGACGAAAATAAGTTAGACTTGTCAAATCAGGACATAATGAAATTAAAACTTTATTTTTTCTTATGAATTGTCTCATTCCCCCCTCCAATAAAATGATCACCACAGAAAATACTATTTTTCTATTTACTTCTTAGTGCTAGTTTCTTAACTGAGGCAGGATATTTTATTCCATAGTTATTTTTTTAAAAGTTTTGCAGAATAAGGAAGTCAAAAGTAATACATTACAGTATATAGTTCAGATCTATTTCCTAGTATTCCTACAGAACAAGGTTGGGAGGAGGGAGGATGAACTAGAAACATGTCAAGTGCACTGTTCATAGAAAGTTATTTCTTCCATCCCTCTAACTCGGGGTTCCCAAACTGGGGGTTGGGACCCCTCAGGGAGTCATGAGGTACTTACATGGGGGGTCGTGAGCTGTCAGCCTCCACCCCAAACCCCGCTTTGCCTCCAGCATTTATAATGGTGTTAAATATATAAAAATGTGTTTTTAATTTATAGGGAGGGTCGCACTCAAAGGCTTGCTATGTGAAAGGGGTCACCGGTACAAAGGTTTGAGAACCACTGCTCTAACTCCCTAAACACACACCTATCATAAACATATTTACATTATATGTTCAAACACCAGGCTACCTATCAGACCCCGCTTCCAAAACTGCCACCATGAAGATGTACCAGCCCAGGCACATGATCCCCTCGGCTTCCCTTTGCCCATAAAATCGATGACAATGAAAATACTAAGGAGAACCCATCACCCATGCAGAAGAATGAAAGACGGATCTGCCCCAGGGCAAGTGGCTGAGCTGCACACACACACACCATGCCACCGGCCTAACGGGCCAGGGGTCCCTCGGCCAGCTCCCCAGAGCAGCATCTCTGGGGGACCGGCGCGTCCGAGGTCTGGGCGAGCCGGGGAATGGGGTGTCTCGGGGGGCTGGTCAGCGGAGGTCTCAGATAAGGAGCTCCTGCCTCAGAGAGTGCCGGGGTACCCATGCTGAGAGGGCGCCCCGCGGCTGTGTGCGCCCATGCGGGGGGCAGTTCCCACCTCGGGGCCGGGGGTTACCTGCTCTGCCAGCCCTGCAGGAGGTTGGTGTATTTGCTGAGCGCTCCCTCCAGCGTCGGCTCCCTCCTGCGGCCGCTGCCGAGCGCCGGCCCCCCTCCGCTTCCTCCCGGGCTCGCAGCTGCCGAGCCCGGGCTACTGCTGCTCCCTCCTCCGCCGCCTTCCAGCCTGCCCGCCGCTGGCCGGCCCGGCGGCCCGCGGCCCATGGAGGAGGGAGACGAGCCCGCCGACGTGGGGCGGCTGCTGCTCCGGCTGCTGCTGTTGCTGCCTCCATCCCCGCTGCTGCCTCCCTGCGCCGCCGCCACCTTCTCCATGGAGCCCGCGGGGCAGGATCCGAGCCCGCCCGGCTGCGGCGAGTTCCCGGGAAATGCCTGACTCACGCGCGGAGCAGGAGTGGCCGGACCAGTGGGGGGAGCCGCCGATCCCGCCCCCTCCGCCGGTTACTAGAGCAAGTTGGGGCGGCGGCCGCAGAACCGCCCCCAGCCTGGAGAGACGCAGGAATCGCCGCCCTGCTGGCACTCGCTCGGGAGGCTGCTGGTCCGGCCTGGAAGAGTCTGAGCCAGGCCTGAGAGAAAGCACAGCACGCGGAGCGAGAGCCAGGGAGGAGTGCACAGCACGGTGTTTAATACACAGTAGCAGTACACAACACACATACACACCACGTTACAGCCAGGGGGGAGAGCACAACTCGGTGTGTAACACACAGTACCACACAACACACACCATACACATTGTGTTACAGCCAGGAAGGAATGCACAGCACAGTGTGTAACACAAACCACCACCAGTGAGGAGAGCACAACACAGTGTGTAACACACCACATCCATATACACTGCATACCATCCAGAGAGGAGTGCACAACATGCAGTGTTTCACACAGCAGCACTACCCACCACCATACACACATGACAGCCAGTGAGAGGAGTGCACAACACAGTGTGTAACACAGCACTTTGCAACACACAGAGTACCTACCACAACACATATACAGTATGTAACACATATAGAAGAATGCACAACACACACACACATAAGCCATCTCCAAGCATTCAAGAACCATGAGTCAAATATTGTAAATCTACCCATAATCATGAGATTGGCTTAAAATCATGGGGTGTTTTAATTATAAATTGGAGGGGTTCTTTGGCTTTTGGTTTCCGAGCTTATAGGATGCACTTAGGTCATCTTTTCAAGCTTGTCTACACAACCATGAGGGCTAGAAACTTTTTATTTAAAAAGAAATGAGAGCTGAGATTCTCTGTCTTTTTGTTCTATATTTGTACAGCACCTAGCACACTGGGGACCTGGTCCATGACCGGGGTTCCTAGGTGCTATGATAATACAAATAATAGATAATAATCATGCAGTCTCTTCATTTCAACAGCAGGGACTTGAAGAGAAAAAAAACCCACAAGGTGAGACAATCAAATCACCAGAGCTGGCAACATTGCAGAGGCAAGCTAACCACAACACACATGCTGTGTGCACAGCTATCAATGCATAACACAGAGAGAGTAGTGCTCTACTTCAACACAAAGTGTATAACAAAGGTACCCAGCACTGAGTATATAGCACATGAAACAAGTGATAAACCTGCAGTGAGAGAGGCCTTGTGTTTCAGGTACAGGAGCTCTGAGTACAACTCATAGACTCATAGACTCATAGACTTTAGGTCAGAAGGGACAAATATGGTCATCTAGTCTGACCCCCCGCATGATGCAGGCCACAAAAGCTGACCCCCCCACTTTCCCTTAACTCTGCTGTTGAAGTCTCCAGATCGTGATCTAAAGACTTCAAGTCGCAGAGAATTTTCCAGCTTGCGACCCCTGCCCTATGCTGCGGAGGAAGGCGAAAAACCTCCAGGGCCACTGCCAATCTACCCTGGAGGAAAATTCCTTCCCGACCCCAAATATGGCGATCAGCAGAACCCCGAGCATACAGGCAAGATTCTCTAGCCAGACCCTCATTTTACCAGCGATGGCCGTTATTGCCTAATTGATTAGAATCCCGTAATCACATCAAACCATTCCCTCCATAAACTTATCTAGCCTAATCTTGAAGCCAGAGAGGTCTTTCGCCCCCACCGTTTCCCTCGGAAGGCTGTTCCAAAATTTCACCCCTCTGATGGTTAGAAACCTTCGTCTAATTTCAAGCCTAAATTTCCCCACGGCCAGTTTATATCCATTCGTTCTCGTGTCCACATTAGCACTGAGCTGAAATAATTCCTCTCCCTCCCTGGTATTTATCCCTTTGATATATTTAAAGAGAGCAATCATATCCCCCCTCAGCCTTCTTTTGTTTAGGCTAAACAAATCAAGCTCCTCTAGTCTCCTTTCATAGGAAAGGTTTTCCATTCCTCGGATCATCCTAGTTGCCCTTCTCTGTACCCGTTCCAGTTTCAGTTCATCCCTTTTAAACATAGGAGACCAGAACTGCACACAGTACTCCAAGTGAGGTCTCACCAGCGCCTTGTATAACGGAAGCAGCACCTCCCTGTCCCTACTAGAAATACCTCGCCTTATGCATCCCAAGATCGCATTAGCTTTTTTCACAGCCACGTCGCATTGCCGACTCATAGTCATCCTGCGATCAACCAGGACTCCGAGGTCCTTCTCCTCCTCAGTCACTTCTAACCTATGCGTCCCTAGCTTATAACTGAAATTCTTATTAGTCATCCCTAAATGCATCACCTTACACTTCTCACTATTAAATCTCATCCTATTACTAATACTCCAATTTACAAGGTCATCCAAGTCTCCCTGCAGAATATCCCGATCCTTCTCCGAGTTGGCAATGCCTCCCAACTTTGTGTCATCCGCAAACTTTATCAGCCCACTCCTACATTCGGTTCCGAGGTCAGTAACGAATAGATTAAATAAAATCGGACCCAGAACCGAACCTTGAGGAACCCCACTGGTGACCTCCCTCCAATCTGACAGTTCACCTTTCAGTACTACCCGCTGCAGTCTCCCCTTTAACCAGTTCCTTATCCACCTCTGGATTTTCCTATCGATCCCCATCTTATCCAATTTAACCAATAATTCCTCATGCGGAACCGTATCAAACGCTTTACTAAAATCGAGGTATATTAGATCCACCGCATTTCCTTTATCTAGAAGGTCTGTTACTTTCTCAAAGAAGGAGATCAGGTTGGTTTGGCACGACCTGCCTTTTGTAAACCCATGTTGTAATTTGTCCCAATTGCCATTCACCTCAAGGTCCTTAACTACTTTCTCCTTCAAAATTTTTTCCAAGACCTTACATACTACAGAAGTTAAACTAACAGGCCTGTAGTTACCCGGGTCACTTTTTTTCCCCTTCTTGAAAATAGGAACCACATTAGCTATTCTCCAGTCCAACGGTACCACCCCCGAGTTTACAGATTCATTAAAAATTGTCGCCAAGGGGCTCGCAATTTCTCGCGCCAGTTCCTTCAATATTCTAGGATGAAGATCATCCGGTCCGCCCGATTTAGTCCCGTTTAGCTGGTCAAGTTTGGCCTCCACCTCTGATACTGTAATGTCTATCCCCCCTCCTCTATTCCCCTCTGTCCTACTCCCTCTATTCCTAAACCCTTCATTAGCCTTATTAAAGACCGAAGCAAAATATTCATTTAGATATTGTGCCATGCCTAGATTATTCTTAATTTCCACTCCATCCACATTCATCAGCGGTCCCACTTCCTCTTTCTTTGTTTTCTTCCTATTTATATGGCTATAAAACCTCTTACTGTTGGATTTAATTCCCCTTGCAAGGTCCAACTCTACACGGCTTTTGGCCTTTCTCACCGCATCCCTACATGCTCTAAACTCACTAAGGTAGGTTTCCTTGCTGATCCCTCCCTTCTTCCATTCTCTGTACGCTTTATGTTTTTTCTTAATCGCCCCTTTGAGACTCCCGCTCATCCAGCTAGGTCTAAATCTCCTGCCCACTAATCGTTTTCCCTTTCTCGGGATACAGGCCTCAGACATCTCATGCAACTTCTGCTTGAAATAATCCCAGGCTTCATCTGCCTTTAGATCCCTAAGTATGTTAGCCCAATCCACTTCCCTAAGTAGTTGCCTTAATTTATTAAAGTTGGCCTTTTTGAAATTGTACACCTTAGTTACAGTATCATTTCTGTTAATCCTTCCATTTACTTTAAACCGAATTAGCTCATGGTCACTCGAGCCAAGGTTGTCCCCTACAACCATTTCTTCAACGAGGTCCTCACTACTCACCAGCTCTAAATCTAAAATGGCATCCCCCCTCGTCGGTTCAGTTACTACTTGATGAAGGAATTCATCTGCTAGCACGTCTAAGAACATCTGAGCCCTATTATTGTTACTAGCATTTGTTACCCAATCTATATCTGGGAAGTTAAAGTCCCCCATGATGACACAGTTCTTATCAGTTTTTACTTCCCTAAAAACATTAAGTAGTTCTCTGTCCGCCTCCAGGCTAGATCCCGGCGGTCTATAGCACACCCCAAGCACTATCTCGGGGGAGGCTCTAGTAGTTCTTTTATGCAGTGTAATTATTGCCCATACAGACTCCGTCTTATCCATTCCATCACTTATTATTTCTTTACATTTTAGCTCATTATTGACATATAACGCCACTCCCCCACCTTTACCTTTTTTCCGGTCATTCCTAAACAGCACATACCCTTCCATACCTGTACTCCAGTCATGACTACCGTTCCACCACGTTTCGGTTATTCCTACGATATCAGGTTTCATTTCTTGGACCAGGAGCTCCAATTCCTCCATTTTGTTACCTAGGCTTCTCGCATTGGTGTATAAACATCTTACCGTATGCTGTCTATCCTTCCTCCCATTAGTCATGCAATTTGGAACGGACCCCATGCTGTCCATTTGCCCCCTCTTTCTTATGTCCAATTCCCTACCCCTACCTATGTCTGTGCTTATCTCCTCCCTCTCCTTTTCAGTGTTGGACTCTGGCGTGGAGATTAACTGAACATCTCCCAACCGTCTCCCCCAAGTTCCTAGTTTAAAGCCCTTTTGATGAGATGAGCCAGCCTCCCTCCCAGAAGTCTATTTCCCTCCCTACTCAGGTGAAGTCCATCCCGCGAGAATAGCTGTCTGTCCCCGAAAGCCTCCCAGTGGCCATACATCCCAAAGCCCTCCTTATAGCACCACTCCCTTAGCCAGCTATTTATTCTCACAATTCTGTCAGCCCTTTGCTGTCCTTCTCTAGGAACAGGCAGAATCCCACTAAAGATAATCTGAGCCTCCACTTCCTTAAGAGTCTTCCCCAGCCTGGCATAATCTCCCTTAATTCTCTCTAGCGAGAACCTAGCCGTGTCGTTCGTTCCTATGTGAAGGATGATCAAA